CTCATATAATTGTGGAAAACGTTAGCTGAAAGTCCCTCATTACCTTAAAAGAAATAGGGTGCTCATAACTCACATATCTGAGTTAATGATCGTTTAGAAAACCTACTCAATAAAGAATAGGATTATTTTCTATGAAGAAATATCATAAAACATTTTTTTACTAATAAATAGCATATAACTTGAAGCAAATTTTCTAATTCCAAAGGGTTTAATATTCGCAAGATTCTACTGTAGATCATTTTTAATCTTTTGCCTTGCAATAAAAAAAAATTGTAAAAATGTGTTCTGTTAAAGTAAGAGATGCCTGCACCTAAATCCTTATTCTCTCTTCCAATACAGTCACAAATCCAGTTCTGGTTCATTTTTGTTCTATTATTTCAGCCTTTAATGCTTTTTTGACAGATTGTTTATATTCTATGACTTGATATCATAAACAAGTAATTTATGCAGAATGAGAGAGGGATTAATTGTTAAGAAATCTTTTTTTACACAATACATTATCATGAAATTTAAAGTGAATACATCAGATATCCACTTATGTGCCTACATTTAAGGATAAACTTTTCATATCATTTTCAAAGTTATGAATATTATTTTTTTTAATCACAGCTTTTTCTTTATTTATGGCTCAACTCACCTGATCTCCAGTAGCACCTTGAAAGCCTCGTTCACCCTTGTTACCAATATCACCAACGTCACCTGGATCGCCAGGCTCTCCCTCACGACCTTCATCACCCATATCTCCTGGCAACTCACTGACGATGGTCAGTATTTTGGCTGGCTTCCCCGGCTCGCCTTTGTAGCCGTCTAATCCTAACAGGCCTCGTGAACCCTAAACAGACATAATTCATTTAAGACCTATTGTAGAGAAAGATAGAAGGCTCTATAATATGAAAAATAGCAATAGCTTCATTTAACTGTTAATAGTGTAGCATTGTTTAAGATTAAATACTTAATCTCATCCTTCATACTAAGTTCAGAAATGATTGTTTGAGGCAAAGTGGATTGTAACACCTCAATTTGAATTTTATTCAAATGACTTACCTTAAAGGCCTTTAAGGGTAAAGAAGATCACGATCCAAATTGCACGAAACATTTTCTTATTTCCCTATTATTTGGTACAAAACCAAAAAAATAAGTTCGAAATTATTATTCTGGCTGAGGCTACGAAAACTTTACTATACTTTTCGGATTTGGGACGTCCATTTATATTCATTACGATAAATCACACTTGAGAAAACGGAAGACAAAAAATAGCCAATTTTTAATTGAAGCCTAAATATAGAAACCTATTTTTGATTTTCCTTTTTACTTGATCTAATAAAAAATAAACACTATGCAATTATTTATAAATAATAGCAATAGACATTAAACAGGACTCAAGTTATAAGGTCATATTGGACTAATAAAGTAAGCCTAACATATTTGACACAACTTTAAGCACTAATGCCTTTATTGAAAATTGGATACAAAATTAGAATCTCTTAATTCTCTCTGTTAGTTCCAATGATGATAGACTCCAATAAATTGAGAACGATGATAGAAAGTTGACATCTTTATCATGTGCCTAAACAAGACCAGCTAGAATTTTGCACGTTTGATATTATGAGTTGTTAGTGGTTCTAAAAT